ACTGGCTGCTGGGGCATGTGCTCTGAAGTGTAATTAAGCTGGTTTCCCGGTTTGAAACCAGCGTCTGATCGCTTATTACTTACCAAGGACAGAAAACTCCCACAGACCACGTTGTCCTGTTGTCAGGGCCTTTTATCTGTGAGTTGCCAGCCCTGCAGCAGTGTAGGTCTCATGCGAGGCAAGATGAGACGCAGCAGTGACTGGGACAGGAGAGCAGTTGCGCGTTGGGTGTTTTTCCAGTTCTGTTTTTCTTTTGGTTGCCCAGCTTTCAGGATTTCTTGCACTACGTCCAGAGGTAAAAATTGCCTTTCACTGGAATCTTTTCTTTAAAAATCAAGCCTTTGGTAGTCAGGCAAAGCCTTTTGCTGACAGAGAGAAAAGGCACTAGAACCGATAGGAGGAATTGTGGCAGGGGCCATGTGGTCTCCCTTCTTCCCAGAGGTAAGAGTCAGTGAGGCACACACACAGGAACCAGGACACCATTCTGAACCCCAGGAGTTACAGATGTTTGGAAAAAACATGTGATTAATTGCAGAGAGCTCGACACAGGTGAAATTTGATACAGGGCCAACCGAGTGTGCGAGGACCTTGTCCATGAGATGGTCAGAGTCAGATAGATTTAATCGGGAAGTTGCCTGGAGAAGTCATTTGAGTTCAATATCGTGATCATAGACTTGGAGATGCTTCTTGGGAACGGCTCTTGGTGCCAGTCCCTTTGTTTTACAGATGGGCGCGTTGCAGAGAGAGTAATTTTTCCAAAGTCACTTAGCAAGGTAATGATAAAATTAGAGATAGACACCAAGTTCCCATCAGTGAGTCGAGCACTTTTGCCCCTAAATCGTAAAATCTGCACGAAAGGTTGGTGAACAGAGGAAACAGTGATTTTCTTGCGGAAGAAGAGGTGGAGGACCAGAGAACAGCCTTTTGAGTGTGGTCTGCAGTCTTGGGGAAAGTGAAGACTAGAACCCAGGTTTTCTGATGCCCAGTTAGGTGGTGCCATTGTCTCAGTGGCCCCCAGAATTTCTAAAATGTTCAATGGATGGCTTAGGTATTCCTGCAAGTAAACAAGGCAGACCTTGTTTTTCTTGTGACATTGTTTTTAATCTCTAGAAATTCTTTAAAAAAAAAAATCCAGACTAGAGATGTACATAGTAAGACCTCAGAGATCTCCGAGTAGAAAGGAGGGTGAGACTCGAAACAGATGCAGGAATATCTTTACTGCCTGGTAGAAAAATATTGAGATTTCTCCATTTGGTGTAGCTAATCTTCAAATTGAAGCCAGAGTGTTATTGTACATGTCCACTGTCCAAATTTGGTTTTGCATCTCTCCCGTGTCCCAGGATTGTGCTGACTTTTGTGGAGAGCATCAAAGAAATTATTAAACAAATTTCCTGCCCTCCTAAATTATGTAACAATGGCTGCTAGTGCAAAAATAGCTGAGCTTCGTGAGGGCCAGTGATAATAGAGAGGGCTCTGCAACAGGCAGACTTGGGCTGTATAGGATTTAGAAAAGATGGCGGGAAGTAGGGCATGACAGGGAGACTGAGAGGTCCTTGGCTTATGGTCTGGTGGAAGCGCTTGAGTTTCTCCTCACCTGTCCTCATATGCTCCCCTAGCAATGCATGAAGTGTCGGGGTCCAACTATGGCGCAGGACAACCTACTTAGAACAACCTTAGGAATGTGGCAACAAAAGCCATTTCCTTCACGTAAATGCGGGAAATTGCTTCCTTTGGTGTGTTCCAGCTTGTCTATTCAGAATTAATTTGGCAGAGTGAGTCAGAGAAGAATGGCTGTCTTCATCCTTCTTTTGGGGGTGAACTTGGCAAACAAGGCTGATATGGACAGGCAATAATTAAATTGCCTTGGATAATGTCTAATATAATTGAGACCAAGAACTTGAGAGCATGTGTCACAAAGAGCTGTCTCTGATAGCGGCTCCCCTGGGTCTTTGAGCCCTTTCTTTACCATATTTTGAGAACTAATAGCTTACTTAAAATGAGAAGACATTAAAAAAAAAAAAGGAAAACCTAACTAGGAATAGATAAATAGGTTGCAAGAAAGAAAAAAAGATTCCCTTTCTGCCTAGCAGCTTTCGAAGGTAAATTTTATGGACTTCATTTCTCACTTACTTTTCCTGTTTCAAAGACAGTGAGATAGATGGAAATGATTTTTTATAGCAGTGAATGAAAAAAGCAGGGTTTTTACCTCTGTGTTTTAAAAACAAAATGTTTTTAAAGACTTATTTTTAGGTTTTTCTAAAAACTGGCTGATGAGAAAGAAGCAACTCAGAAAATACTAAAAGCACAAAACGTAGGGAGTTTCAGAATTTGAAGCAGGCTTCGCGGTCTGTTTTTCAGATCAGTGGTGTTAATAGAGCATATTGCAATGACATATAAATGAGTTCTTTGTCCTTTTTCTTTGTGTTCTCACAGAATTCTGCACTCTTTGGGCCTTTATCACACTCTGCCAACCTCACTGCTGCCTCCCACTGTCCCCACTTCTAGGCCGAGGCTTCCTCCCTCCACATTTACTCTTGACTCTTTGTTCAGCAGCGTCATGGATGTTTTCAGCCCTGATTCTAGTCGATCCCTTGCCCAACAGTCTGTTCTTGGGATTATTGTGGAAGAACATCACTACAGAACATGCTGTACAGCCGTCAGCAACGTGTGTGTGTGTGTGTGTTGTTGTTGTTGTTTTTATAGCAGATAATATGCCCTATAATTTTAGAAGTGTATGGTTATATAAAAATATCAGGACTTTTCACCTATAAATAAAAAAGAAGTGGTTTCCCAGTATATATGGGGTGAGTGGAATTGTACAGGTTTTTATTTTAAAAACATATTCCAAAAGGGATACACAAAACAGTTCTTCCTGGCCTCTCTATCTAAAGTGCCCCGCTTGCTCCACATGCACCCTATTATATTACCCTGATTTATTTATTTTCCTTCTTGCACTCTTTTTTTATTTAATTAAATTTATTGGGGCAACATTGGTTAATAACATTATATAAGTTTCAGGTGTAGAGTTGTATAATACAACGCCTGTATATTACATTGTGTACTCACCACCCAGGGTTCAGTCTCCTTCCGTCACCGTGGATTTGACCCCATTTATCCTCTTTGTTCTCCCGTTACGCCTCTCCTCCCCGGGTAACTACCATTCTGTTGTCTGTGTCAATGAGTTTGTTTGTTGCTTTCTGTTTTATATCCCACACATGAGTGAAGTCATATGATTCTTGTCCTTTTCCATCTGACTTATTTCACTTAGCGTACTTCTTGCACTTTTCATAGTCTGAAATTATCTTGTGTTTGTATATGTATATGTAAATACTATATATACATTACATATGTATGTATTATACAAATACACACATATATAAAGTTTACTTATTTATTGTTGTCTTTCCCCCTCTAGATGGTGGCAGGAACTTTATTTCTAGCACATACTAGATGCCTATTGACTTTTTTTTTTTTTAAGATTTTTTTATTGGGGAATTGGGGGGATGGGAACAGTGCTGGGTGGGGAATTGGGGGAACAGACAAGTTGCTGTCGTTTTTTTTGTTGTTGTTCTTCAGTCTAGTTGTGGAGGACGTTGCTTCACTGGCCCAAGTTGGCACCATCATTGCACTCTTCCCGGGGGAGGCAGATCAGTCGCCGGCTTCTGGTCGGCCGCTCACGGCGGCTGCTGGCCGCTCACGCTGGCTGCTGGCTACACACGGTAGCCCATGGCAACCCACTGCAGCAGGGGACTGCAGCCTACGCCATCGCCGGTGACTCACGGCAGCCCAGCTCCAGGTTGAGCTGTTGTTCAGCATCTTAGCTGTAGAGGGCAGTGTCACTGGCCCTCATATATGGGATGCGAACCGGGGCCCTCTGGCATCCCAAGCCAGTTCTTAACCATCGCGCCACTCGGCTGGCCCGACTTTTTTTTAAATATAGTGAATCCATAATCATTTAGATAGAACCAAGGTCATAATGTTTGGACATCAAGTATTTGACTCTTAAAATGATTCAGGCACAAACAATTAGTTAGTCATAAGTTAACTTAGTTCGGTTACAGGAAGTTCTTACTGAAGCTGAGAATAATAGTTTAATCGTTCTAGATCTATCAATTTTCTGGATGATACAACAATTATATGGGGATTTAAAAATAAGATTTTACATTGTGTTTTCCATTATCCCTTAGCTCTGAGATTACAGTTCGTTCTCCATCCCTACCTTTTTATAGAGTGCCAGCTCCTAGGGATGCAGAACTGAACCAGCTTCCTGTGCTCTAGGCGCTTACCATCTGAGGGGCGAATAGACCAGCCAGCCAAGGCCAAGGTTCTGATGCTGTGACAGGAGTTAATCCCAGGAGCTGGGAGGGGGCAACCAACCCAGAGTTAGGATTTTGAGGAAGAGACTTCTGACTTCTAAGTTGAGAATGAAGAAGTAAGAAATAGCAGTTGGCGGAAGGTATGTGAGTGAGTAGGGGAGTAAGTTCAGGGAAAGAGGAGAAAAGTGGTTCCAGGTAGAGGAAGTAACCTACTGCGAGGGTCTGGAGCACTCGAGAGAAATGGACATAGCTTTTCATGGAAGGAGTGTGGATTTTTAAGGTAGAGATTGGTGTAAAATGCAGCCGGGAATGGGGGCAGGAGCCAAGATAGGAGCAGATTTACAGTGCTATCTACTGTGTCAGGAGGACAGTGGACATCTCTGGAGGGTCTTAAATACCGGAGTGACATGTTCAGAATCTTACAGTGCATGGATGATTTGATTTGCTTATGAGTTAGGACCATCCATTTACCTTAAAATTGCTTATGTTTCTAATGTTAATAAGGGACGGAGTGGGAATGGCACAGGGCAAAGCCATCTCCTCAAAGCGGACAGCTTGCTGTATAGCAAAATTAATTGGTTAAATGACACCTTATAATGAATAAAGTCAAAAGATGTTCCCATCTGCCATCACACCTTTTTTTTTTTTTTTGGTCCTTTTCTCCACCTTATTTTCCCATCCTAGAACAACAAAGTCACACTCTTCCGCCATCTGCAGCAGATGACGTACAGCCTGATCGAGTGGCGGTCCCAGATCCTGTCTGGAACGCTCCCCAAGGATGAACTGGCGGAGCTCAAGAAGAAGGTCACAGCCAAAATCGATCATGGAAACAGGTAAACCAGGGATGACTTTTACAGAGAACTTGGAAAGAGATGAACACGTTCCTGCTAAGGACACAGCTCCCCACGCGCTTCTGATCTTGCAGTTGGCAAACAATAACGCTTACTGCTCTCCTTTTTTGCGTTGGAAAACATTTAATTTTGTTGAAAAAAATTTGGCAGTGCCTTTCCTGGGCCAGATCCTGTGCTGGATCTCTGATCTCAAGGAGATGACAGAGGAACAAAGAAGGTGGGGTTTGGATCCAAATGACTCCACTGCCAAACAAACTGAAAGGGACTGAGCATCTGAAGCCAACATTTTTGGAGACCTGGGACAATCTCTGTTTTTATTTTAACCATGGATTTTAAATCAATGTCAGACTCATTCTCATTCTCTCTCTCTCTCTCTCTCTCTCTCTCTCTCTCTCTCTGTCTCTCTCATACACACTGGGACCATTGTGTACAATGCGTGAAAATCAGATTTGCCGGAATAGGAAAATATGTTTTTAACTGTTGATTATGTCTCTAGTAACTTCTGAAGACTTAACCTCTTCATTCATCTTCTGATTAGCTCAGGCAGCTATGTAGGTTCTAGATATTACCACCTTTTAGAAAATGAGAAATTCACTCAAGTCATCCATATTTATGGTGACCTAGGATTCATCCCTCCTGGCCAGCTCTTTTTAAAAGACTGGGTTGGCTCCTCAGTTTGATTTTGTTTTTGTTGATAATCCATTTGACACTTAGTCTCATTTTCTGAATGTCTTCAACTTGTGCCTATGTGCTTTTTTCCCCCTACCCCTTTTCCCTATTACTTCTCCAACCTTTCAACTCTCAGAAGTGGTTCAGAGACCCCTTAAAAGACAGCGCATTACCCTATTCATTTAAATGTTGTAGACTTTGACAACGGTATTCAGAAATAGCTGGGTAAACATAGCATACAACATTCAGGTCCAACCATTAGTTATGCTATCTCTCCTATGTACACTTCACCTGTATTACCTGATTACAGGATGTAGCTGCTATTCCCATTTTATGGTTGAAGAAACAGACCAAGTGAACTTAAGTGATTTGCTTCCAAGTCACATAGATAATAAGTGGGAAACCTTAAATTTGAACCCAAAGCTTCCGATTCCATGTCTAATGCTCCCTTCGTACGGTTAAGGATGAACAGTTCCTTCCCTCGTCACTTGTCAATTCATACGACTGTAACCACAGGGGTTGCATTGGCAGTCATGTAATGCTGGGGGACTCTTAAAATCAGCGAAGGTATGGGATAAGGCAGCTCCACCCTTCACACATGCTGGCTCTGTATTTTCGGGCCTTGTCACAGTAGGCATTGGCCCAGAGGACCCAGTCTCTGGCGCAAGCTGTCCACATCCAACAAACAGCAGAACATGGCCTGCCTTCCCATTCCAGCCCTTGGAAGCAGCTCAGGAAATTAAGCTACTCCATCAGGGCATCGGTGATTTAGTCTCTGAACAGCCACCAAGGCCCATTGCTCACGAGTCTGGGTGGCCTATGGGTCTGGCTGCCATGGAAAGGAACCTGCCAGATGAAATCAGTTGATGGAGATGCTATAAAACACGGAGGAGGGAAATTAGGCGTTTTTGCTTTCTCCCCAGAGACTTGGCACATTTTACTGTTATCCCTGCGCTTTCTTGCTGTTTGGACACCCCTACGCCCACAGTGCTGGTGCCTGGAATGTACATCGGGCATTCAGATAGCAGTATCCTATTTCCACCACAGTCCCCCGCTTCTTGGAACTAAGCAACATTTTTTCTACTTCTCTGTGCACATTGGGCATAAAAGCTTTGGTGGGGATCGTGCCATGCATAGACCATATAGATCTGACTTTTCCTGTGCAATACTCAGAACTATATCGTAACACAGCCAGGTGTTTTCTTGTGCCAGTGGCTGCAATACGAGCTAACTGTTATTGAGTGCATGCTGTATGCTAGATATTGTATTACATGCTTTATATGCATTATCTCGTTAAATTTTCCCAAGAACCCTGAAGGGTGGGAAATATTTACAGATGAGGAAATCAGGGCTTTGCAAAATTAAGGAAATTACCCAGAGTCACCATGTTATAGCAAAAATGAAAGCCAAGATTCAAATTCTGCTCTAATTAACACCAGAGCCCATGCTCTGAGATGGGTTAGGAGATGCCAACAGACAGGACTTACTTCATCCATCTCCTTTAAGACACTCTTGAATTAGGTCCTGTCCCGCAAGCCTGTACTTTTAAGGGAAGGGGAGCAAGCTCCCAAATATTTGTGCATTTGTCTTTCATAATTCCTGTGCCAAACAACAGAAAACACGGGGAAACAGGCATTGGTCAGAGGAATTTGGTCAGAATCAGGACCAATTTTGCCTTTCCTGGTGAGGTTCTGGGGAGCAAATTACTTTGGATATCATTATATGAGTTTGGTTATAATTATTACAGGTTTTCTAACATTGTTGTGATATGGAAAGGAGGTAGAAATTGGAAGGAGGAAAACCAGTGAGGTGTTCTTGTCCAGCACCCAGCCTTTCTAATTATGCGTTCTTGCATGAGGACTCTGCAGTAGAGACTCTCTTTCCAATGAGGAGATCCAGTGACTGTGTTTTTCTCTCTAGAATGCTTGGGTTAGATTTGGTGGTGCGAGATGACAATGGAAACATCTTGGACCCGGATGAAACTAGCACCATTGCCCTCTTCAAGGCCCATGAAATGGCCTCCAAAAGGATTGAGGAAAAGATCCAAGAAGAAAAGGTATCTTTCCTCAAAAGTGCAGATTTTGGCCACTGAGATTCCATTTTTGCTTTTGTTTTGAATGAGAGAAAGGGAATTGTTGACGACAGCGATAGAAACATTTAGAAAATCATTTATGTCCTCGTTTTAAAAACAAAACAAAGAATGAGGAAGCTGTATGTATTGTTCTGATATGGAAAGACCATATACATATATATATATATATGTATATGTATATATGTATATGGTGAAAAAGAGCAACATGCAGAGTAGTATGTAAAATACTATTACTTATCTTTCAAAAAGAATATACATACATCAGTGCTTGCCTGTGTGTCTACTAACTCTAACGCTGGAATGATAGGAAAGAAATTGGTAATCAGTGGATGATTTTGAGAAGAAGAGCTGGGTGGAAGAGAGCCTTTTTACTGTGTAACCTTGTGTATTTAGTGCATATATTACAATTTCCAAAATAAATAATTATAAATAAACTGAAAGAGTTTGAAAGTAGTAATTGGACCTTAAATAAAAATTAGGTACAGAAAAAAGGGAAAAAAGAGTCATCTATATTGTGACTGCCCAACCATACTGATATTTTAGTATATGTTCTTCCAGTCTTTCTGTTGTAATGAGTAAAGGTTTCTGTTTTTTTGGTTTTTTTTTTCCTTTAGTTTGTAGGTTTTATTTCTTTAGCACAGTTGTGATCAAATTTCATTGTGTTTCTGGATCTAAAGACTAACCATGCCTGGGGGTGAAGCCTTTCTGGTGGAACCTCTTGTTTGCAATGAGAGGTATTCCCAAAAAAGAAGGATAATGAATCATGACTTTCATGCTTTTGAGGTTCATCCAGAAGCCATTGTGCGAGATGAGCACTTCTTCAAACTACTAAACTGAGTTATCACCTGTAGACAGCATTTATTGAATCCCTTGAGTTCAAGGCTCTGAACAAGGCAGTCTCGATCATCTAAATACTAATGATTATATTTTGCTCACTTGATTATTTGTCCGCTTAGATGTACTTTCTTCTCAGTCAGTACTTCACCTCTTGGGTGGTAATTGCCCCTCCCCACCCCCCCAACCCCCTTGCAGGCCAGTGTCTTATGTTTGCTGAAACCAAGACGCTTTTCTGTCTTTTCCTCTGTGTTCAGTCGATGCTGCAGAACCTGGACCTACCGGGCCAGCCCGTCTTCAGCTCCGTCCATACCTGTGGCCTCTACGTGAACTTCAAGAACTTTGTTTGCAACATCGGGGAAGA